TTCACAGTCACAGGTGAGCATGCCTTCTGCAGGTGAGCACACTTCCTGTAGGTGAGCACGCCTTCTGCAGGTGAGCATGCCTTCCGCAGGTGAGCACGCCTTCCGCAGGTGAGCACGCCTTCCGCAGGTGAGCACGCCTTCCGCAGGTGAGCACGCCTTCTGCAGGTGAGCACGCCTTCTGCAGGTGACCACGCCTTCTGCAGGTGAGCATGCCTTCCGCAGGTGAGCACGCCTTCTGCAGGTAAGCACGCCTTTTCTGTGTTGTGCGGGGATCCATCAAGCCCCTCAGCACCTCGGCCAGTTCACTTTTGTCGATGGATTTGTCATTTAAGACCTAGTCAACCACACTGGGAGGGTCCAAAAGACATGATTTTTCCAGTCCTGTCAGAAATAAATCTGTGAGAGGAACCCCCACATCCTTAAGAAGCTCTGTGAGGCCAGGCATGGTGGCTCACACCTATAATCCCAACACTTTGGGAGGAGGCCGAGGTGGGCAGATGTCTTGAGTCCAGGATTTGAGACCAGCCTGGGCAACATGGCAAAACCCATGTCTATGAAAAAAATACAAAAATTCTGGGTGTGGTGGCACACAGACTTGTAGTCCTAGCTACTCAGGAGGCTGAGATGGGAGGATCACTTGTGCCTGGGAGGTTGAGGCTGCAGTGAGCTGTGATAGTGCCACTGCAATCCCGCCTGGGTGACAGAGCGAGACCCTGTCTTAAAAACAAAAACAAAAAAGGCAGCAGTACTGTGATTTCTCTGTAGGCTAGAACTTAACAGTGGGAACTGCAGTCACTGAATTAGGAAACCTAAATCAAATGGGAGTAATTGGATTTCAGGATGGCAGGGCTAAGTGGTAGCATGCAACTGCCAAGGACAAGCTGGACATAGTTGCTGCTGCTGAAAGAAAAGAGAATCTGGGGACCCCAAACTCACTACACTGGAGGGAAGTTAAGTTTGGGAACTGAGTCATGCAAGAGACTGCCTTTTTTGTTCCCAAATAGATAGCTGTAATTTCGCATGCTTACTTTATCTTATGTAAAATGGAGTTACTGAACACCAGAAAATGCATCACTGACTTTTCCCCTACTCCCTCTTTCCACACAAAAAAAATGTATCGATTCACTGAGCGCTAATCAGAGCCTCACAAAAATGTAACCACTTGGCTTCATTGCCTACTCTCTCTCCTTTTTTATTTCCCTTTCTCTCCTTGAGGAAGAGGAGAGGAAGCTCTTTCCCCTTTAAATATCAAAGGGGATAATGCTGTTTCCCCTTTAAGTATCAAAGTTCCTAAAATCCTCTTTGGAACAAGCACAGGTCTCAGATCCTACTGTGACTTGTGTTTCTTTTTCCCAGTCACATCCTTGACCTTGGCAAAATAAACCTCTAATCAATTGCCAAAAAAAAAAAAAAAAAAAAAAAAAGGAGGGGGGAGCGCTGATCTTTGTTTCTCGGTATCTTCCTCTGGAGAGTTCTACAGTGTTGGCATGGCCCTGATCTCTGTGTTACCTCTTGTTTGCACCTGGGAGCTGAGGCGGGTAGAGGGAAAGGGAGACTTTGGGTGTAGGGAGCCAGAGGAGGTTCTCATGACATGTCCACATCTGCTTTAGAGTTCTGTTTCTCTCGGAGCCGGTCCCTTAAGGAAGATGTGATGCTAAAGCGTGCCCAGGTTGATAAAGAAACTAGGAATTGCATTCCCCAGGATCCCATGAAGGGGCCACATGGGGGTTTCAGCATCGAGGAGGCTTGGAGGGAAGACGATACATCTTCAAGTACCCGAGAAGCTGACATGGGCAGAGTGATGAAGCCAATCCGTTTCCACAGACTGATAATGTGGCTCATTATGAGTTGGGCATTTCTGAGAATTTCTTTTCCAGAGACAGGATCTTGTTCTGTTACCCAGGCTGGAGTGCAGTGGTGCGATCATAGTTCACTGCAGCCTCGACCTCCTGGGCTCTAGCGATCCTCCCACCTCAGCCTCCCGAGTAGCTGGGACTACAGGTGTATGCTACCATGCCCAGCTAATTTTTTTGTATTTTTTTTTTTTGTAGAGACAGAGTCTTGCTCTATTGTCCAGGCTGGTCTCAGCCTGGGAACTGCATTGAAATGTAATGGCCTCCATGTGAGATGTGAGCCACCCGCACACAGGAAGTATTTACACAGGGGCAGGATGGTGATTCTCGCCTTGGGCAGAAGCCTGGGCTGGTGATCTCTCTGGCTCCTTCCTACCTGGAAATGCCATGAATGTGGAAATGGAACTTGGAGTTTCCTTTAGTCTTCCATGTCCCCTGAGGACATGATGTTCAGATTCACAAAGCTGCATATTGCTTTCAGCTATAGGAGTTTGTACCAAAGTAGAAAAACTCAAACCTTCCAGAGCAGGTGCTCCAGAGGTTGGCTTCCCGCTCAAATAGGTAGTTACTAAAGCTGAGTCAAGCCTGAGCCAGCGTCTGATGCTAGTCGCACCCAGGAATGGCTCCAGGGGGCTATAAAGAGCACACTTCTTGGAAAATGGAACAGACTCCAGCTATCAGCTTTGATCTAAACCCAAGACAGGATGGGCCAGAAGCCGGGTCCTCTGCCCCTTGAGACCTGGGCTTACTGCATCCAGGTGTGGCCTCCTCTAATTTCAGAATCATTTGAAGACTTCTTAGCTCTTTGTTGCTCTGGCAAAGCAGGCTTGTTATTGTTAGCACATCTCGGGTCACACCTTCCCATCAATTTCATTTACTACTGTGGGTTTGGCAGGTGGAGATGAAAGTGGGAGGAGTTTTTTACAGATCCTAACAATGAAAAGATTAAGAAGAGTAGGTTGGTAGATTGAAAACAATCACAACTCATGTAAGTTATATAGTCATTTCAAAATCAGAAGCTTATGCCTGGCCAGGCATGGTGGTTCACATCTGTAATCCTAGCACTTTGGTAGGCGGAGACAGGTGGATCACTTGAGGTCGGGAGTTCAAGACCAGCATGGCCAACATGGCGAAACCTGGCCTCTACTAAAAATACAAAAATTAGCCCAGTGTGGTGGCGCACACCTGTAATCCCAACTACTTGGGAGGCTGAGGCAGGAGAATTGCTTGAACCTGGGAAGTAGAGGTGTGGAGGTTGCAGTGAGCTGAGATTGTGCCACTGCACTCCAGTGTGGGTGACAGAGCGAGACTCTGTCTAAAAAAAAAAAAAAAAAAAAAAAAAGAAGCTTATGCCAAAAGCCAGAGAATGTTAGAAAAGTAACAACCATATCAACAAAAATTAATCAAAATGCTTGGAGTGAATTGTCTGGTAAGGCTATTATGATATTTGGATCCCGGTGGGTCAAATCTTTCTGATTTTCCTAAAAGTAATTGACTGAATAAATCTTTGAATGACTGAGGATGCGATGCTTTATTGTTATTTATAAAAACATGAAGTCCTGATCCTCATATGTGTGCAAATGGTGATCACTCTCCCATGGCTTCCCTTCTTTGCTTCCGTAGTCTCTGGCTCACTCATGTTGCCTACAATCTTAAGGATGCCTAGAATCTAAGGATACTTATAGTAATAATATGCTATAATATTATTAACCAAACTACACTCTCCAGATTTCACCAATTTTCTCACTAATGTCCTTTTTCTGTTCAAGGATCCAGTCCAGGATTGTACCCAGGATTGCATTTAGTGAATGTTATCTGCATGATATAGAGGTGGTAAATGGTGCAAAACAAGAAAAAGAAACATCACTTCTCAATGCTTATTAGTGCAAAACCATATAATCTATTCTGTACTTTTCAATGGGGAGAAGTTATGTAGGTGAATCCTACAGGCTGGGATAGATAGAGCAGGGTGATGTGAGAGACTAGGGGTGCAGGGCAGTCCTCTCTGAGGAAGGGAGTGTTGAGCTGAGATCTGATTGTAAGAGCCAGGTTTGAAACAATCTAGGGGCAGAGCATTCCAGGTGGAGAGAATTGTAAGGTGGTATAGTAGGTCCTGCCAAATGAGTTATTTCAGATGTGAATACTGATTTATTGAAATAGGCAATCATTCATTCACCAAATATTTAAAGAGCACCCGCTAGTGCCAGGAACTGTTGAAGGTGCTTGGATGACATTAGGCTAGAATGTTTCTTGCCGGGGAAGCCAGGCCAGGGAAGTGTGTGAAGAGGGATAGGCTGATGTTAAGCTAGGATGTAGAGCTGGGAGGGATGCTTAGTGAGACTTCTGAGTTCGACCAAAGTTAGGAGGGCCTGCAGACCCATCTGAGTTCCACTGGGGACGGGCAGAAGTCAGGGGTGGATGCCTGAGTCTTGATTCTCAGATGAGCCGAGAAGCCTAGGCTGGAGCTTGAGGAGATCTGGAACCTGGAGTAGGAGGTGCTTAGTTTCACGTTGAGATTGGTGCAGAAGGCTCAGACCCCACCCCTTCACAGCTAGACTTGAAAAGATTTGGGGCAGAACATTTCAGGTGGATTCCAGGTGGAGGGAACTGTAAGTGCCAAGGCCAGGAGGTGAGACCAAATTTGATATGTTGGAACGATTTCCAGACACCAGAACTCTGTAGGCCAGGTCAGGAGTTTGGATTTTATTCCATGTGTAATGGGAAGCCACTGGATAATTTTATATATGGGACTGACATGATTTTATTTTTAAAAATTAACTTATTTTCTTGAGACAGTCTCACTCTGTTGCCCAGGATGGAGTGCAATGTTGTGATCACGGCTCACTGCAGCCTTGACCCCCTGGGCCCAAGCCATCCTCCCACTTCAGCCTCACAAGTAGCTGGGGCTACAGGTGAGCACCACCCCACCCAGCTAATTGTTTTGTATTTTTTGTAGAGATAGGGTTTTACCTTGTTTTCCAGACTGGTCTCGAACTCCTGGGTTCAAGCAATCCGCCCACCTTGGCCTCCTAAAGTGCTGGGATTACAGGTGTAAGCCATCACACTTGGCCATTTTTAATTTAACAATATTTTAAATCACTTTTCTTGAGGCATAATTTACAAATAACAAAATACAGTCACTTTAAATGTACAGTTTGGTGAGTTTTGACAAATATATCCAAGTACGTAACCACCACCACAATCAAAATACAGATAGAGCCTTCTTATCACCCCAAAAAGTTCTCTTTACAATTGATTCTCCTATTACTACCCCAATCTCCAGCCTTAGGCAAGAGATCCTGCAGATCCTTTGCCCAACTTCCTGGAGTTACCATCTTGCATAACCATGTATGTTTGTCAAAACCGAGAAATTAACATTGCTACAGTATCACGAACCAAACTATCAGCTCTAATCAGATTTCACCAATTTTCTCATTAATGTCCTTTTTCTGCTCCAGGATCCATTCCAGGAGTGCACCCAGGATTGTATTTAGTAATCATGTCTCCTTATTCTCTTCTGATCAGTGAGTTTCTCAGACTTTCTTCATTTTTCACGAACGTGGCAGTTTTGGGGCAAACTGGTGAGGTGTTTTGTAAAATGTCCTTCGATTTGGGTTTAGCTGATGTTTTCTTATGATTAGAGTTTATAGATTTGGGGAAGAAAACCACAGAGATGACGTGCCCTTCTCATCCCAACATATCAGGGAGTATTTGACACCAAATTCTATCGCTGGTGATGTTAACCTTGGTCACTTGGTTAAAATTGTGTCTGCCAGGTTCCCTCCTATGAAGTCACTATTTTTCCCTTTCCATAATCTACTTTTTGGAATCAGGTCATGAAGTCCAGCCCATCTATAAATGGGAGGAGAGTTAAACTTCACCTCCGGAGTGGAGGAAGTACACATATACTATTTGGAGTTATTTATTCATAGAGAAAGCTTCTTTTTTTTTTTGAGAGGGGGTCTCACTCTGTCACCCAGGCTGGAGTGCAGTGGTGCGATCTCAGCTCACTGTAACCTATGCCTCCCAAGTTTGAGCAATCCTCCTGCCTCAGCCTCCTGAGTAGCTGAGACCACAGGCATGTGCCACCACACCCAGCTAATTTTTGTATTTTTGGTAGAGTCAGACTCTTGCCATGTTACCAGGCTGGTCATGAACTCCTGAGCTCAAGCAATCCGCCTGCTCAGCCTCCCAAAGTGCTGGGATTACAGGCATGGGCCACCGTGCTTGGCAGAGGAAGCTTTTTTTTTTTTTTTAAATAGGGGAAATAACAGTATATTTGTATTTTGCTGGAAGTGATCCAAAAGGGAACAAAACACTTGTGAGAGTTTCTTTGGTTTATTCAGTAAGTGTTGAAAATATTTGCACACCAGGACTTTTCTCATTTATAAAAACCTTAATAATATACTTTATTTAGCACAATATATGCAAAATATTATGATTTCAAAATATGATCAATATAAAAATATCAGTTAGATATTTGAAATTCTTATTTTATGTGAATTCTTGCAGATCTGTCTTGTATTTTATGCTTACAGCTTATTTCAGTGAACTAGCCACATTTCAAGTTCTCAATGGCCATATGACTCAGGCTACCATATTGGAGAGCACAGCTCTAGACCTTTTTGAAACCAGTGCAGGACAGGCCGGGATCTTGGTGAGTGTGCACTTCATTCTCCAGTCTCCAGTCTCTCAACTCTATCATCTTTGTTGTATTTTTGTGACCGCAATTCCTGAAAGTTCATGTTGAGGAAGCATCTTGATAGTGACATTTTGTTTTTTTGTTTTGTTTTGTTTAGTAGTTAAAACAATATTTTTACTTGATTTTTCTCTATTTTATTTTTTAATTTTTAAAAAATTTGTGAGTGCCTAGATGTATATATTTATGGGTTATGTGAGATGCTGAGATACTGGCATGCAATGTGAAATAAGCACATCCTGGAGAAAGGGGTATCTGTCCCCTCATCCTCTCAAGCATTTCTCCTTTGAATTACAAACAATCCCATTATACTCTAAGTTATTTCAAAATGTCAATTAAGTTATTATTGACTACAGTCACCCTGCTGTGCTATCAAATAGTAGGTCTTATTCATTCTTTCTATTTTTTTGGTACCCATTCACCATCCCCACCTCCTCCCCGATGTCTAAATTCTGAAGTGCCATTTTTGGATACTGATAAAGCTGAGAGCTAGCTACCTAAGTACCTTGAATTGTGACAACAATTCTTCTCCCTTTCCCAGCACAGTGATTTCATAGTCATCTTTTCTTTCTGTGTTTTCTTCATAGTGCCTTTCACACTGCTCCCTGATCTTCCTCTGTTCTTACCTTTGAACTTTTAAAAATTGAACTTCTCATTATGGGATAATTATAGATTCACAAGCAACTGTAAGAAATAATATAGAGAGACCTCAAGTCTCTTTACCCATTTTCCTCTAAAGGTTACATCTTGCAAAATGTTATTTTCTCTCTTTTTAAAATAAAGATATTTGGCTGATTTGTGAAGGCAAAGTGGGAGCAGAGAGACTGCTGGGAGGTGACTGTGACTGGGTAGAGATTTGGACCAGGAGAGAGCGAGAGAAGATGCCGGACCATGCTGCCATTCTGGGGGAGAGGCAGAGGTGAGCTGTAGCCACATGACCCTTACAGGAAACCCTGATGCTTAACTCCAAAAAGAACCTTCTTCACCAAGGCCAACTCAAAAGCACAGTCTGTGTAACAGTCAGTTTCCAGCAGGAAAGAGGGAGTACAACGTGTTTACAGTTTAGGGGAGGAAAAACAATTTGCCCTTTACCTTTCTGAGTTCTTAGCTGGGACCCCTGCTAGCATTCGCAACAAAAGACAGATTAACAAGAGAAAAACAAGATTGTATTAACGTGTATATATCACACGTGCATGGGAGACAGCCAGGGAATGAGTAATTCTCAAAGGGGTGATTTAGAATTCCAGCTTATATAGTATCTCTGACAAAAGACAATACATTTTTAGAGAAGTGATAAGACAAAAAGGACCTTGAGTCCAAGGGATCGCAAATTGTAGGAAGGCAAATATACAAGAAACTAATGGTAGATAAAGACTGGTTAGAAAAATTTGTTAGGAAGATTCCTCTGATCTAATAAGGCCCTGAAGACATCTTCATTAATCGACCTTTGTCCTTCCCAGTAGGAAGGGGAGGAGGGATGCCTATGTCCTGCTTTAGGCAAATAGAGGCAAACAGAAAGCTTTTCTTATATCTACTTCTTCTCAGCTGCTTTCAGCTCAAAATAATCCTCATGCCAAATGGTATATTTGGTGTGGAAGAGCCTGCTACCTTTCAACAGAACCAGAGTTTAATGAAGGGACAATTTACAGAGGTGTGGGCAGGATTAGGGACATCCAGGAGAGATGATGAAGCACCTAGAGACTAGCACACTGGGAACTGTCACTGTCCCTAACCCTGAAGGAAGGAGAGAGAGAGGTGGCATTACAGGGCCCAGGGAAAGTTGGAGTAGAGGTTGAGGAACTACCCGATAGAAGCAGTGGTGGTAGGTAGAGGAATATAACCACTGCCAAAATTACACCCAGCAGCGGGAGAGGAATCAATTTTTTGACCTTTCTCCCCTCCCATCATCTGATTACCTGATGGTGCAAGGAAACGGGCCATGAAATCTGCCACGGTTGGCCTTCTTAGCATAGACCAGGAGAGAGGAGAGAGAGGATGGATCTGGAGAGGTGAATGGAGAATAACAGAATACAATTTCAAAAACTCTACAGTGGGGGAGCTTTAGAAACAGTTCCTTTATCTGTACAGGGCACATTCTTTTTTTTTTTTTTTTTTTGAGATGGAGTCTCGCTTTATCTCCCAGGCTGGAGTGCAGTGGCATGATCTTGGCTCATTGTAACCTCCAACTCCTGGGATCCAGCGATTCTCCTACTTCAGCCTCCCGAGTAGCTGGGATTACAGGTACGTGCCACAACACCCAGCTAATTTTGGTATTTTTAGTAAAGACTGGCTTTCAACATGTCGGCCAGGCTGGTCTTGAACTCCTGACCTCGTGATCAACCCACCTTGGCCTCCCTGTACAGGACACATTCTAGATGTGCAGTGATTCCATTTTAATGTAAGTGCTTCTCTCTTAGTCTCATTTTCAGCAACTCTTTCCAAGATTATTTACAGGCTTGATCTATAAGCATCTAGGAAACACTGTGGACCCTGGCCTCACCTGGGGGTGGAGCAAGGGCCTGAGAGGAGGGCTGCACAATGCTTTGAGGGATAGGGGATCCTGGACACTGGGATGTGTGGCCTCTCCAGGGATTTTCGAGCCCATGAAAATGTCAGAGAATCCACCATAACAAGAGGCCATTGGGAGCTTGGCCAAGGGTATCATGCGATTGGATATCTCAAGGTTGCTTGTGACAAACATGAAACTGGAGGTCCAAGACCCTCTGCCCCTTTTCTGGCACCACTAGGTATCCAGGGTTCTGATGGGTCTCTGAGGGTGGGGGTGGGAGGTAACTAACACTGATTTCAGTGGCTTTTCCTACCACTTCCGTGGGATATGTGTGTGTGGTGTGGTGGAATTTGGGCTTGAATTCGTTTCTGATCCATAAATTGGGGATAATAATATTACCTCCTTCACATGATTATTGGGAAGATTGAGATGATCATATAAGTAAATAACTTAGCAGTCTGGAAGTGCTCAACATATGTTAGCTATTAGTAGCAGTCGTAGCTTTTCCTCCTGTCTACTGACCGGAAGGTACTGTTTCTGCTTTTCATATGACACACTGCAAAGTGACTTTGAACATATGATTCTTAATTTCATTTCTTGCAAGTGTGAAATGAGCTGACAGAAGAGACCAACATGGAGAGCTTTACCCCCACAGCCCACAGCAGACACATCACAGAGTTACCAGGAATTCCAGAAAGGAAGTCAAGTGATGAAAGACTGAAGGACAGGAAGCCTGGGAGGACTGCTCCCTAAGGGAAGCTGGGTGGAAAGTTCTCACGGAGTCCAGCCCTGTTCCGCCTGCTCTGTCCCGGGGGTCTCTCGGACCCTGTCCCTCTGCGAATTGAGGAGTGGTCCTAATTGCCAGTTGCCTTAAAGAGTTTGGGGAAACTGAAGACTGTGGTCCTTTATAGGCAGGTTCTGGATCAAGAAGGGTGGGGGAGGTCCTGGATTTGGATTCCTGAAATCCACAGACAACCCTGCCCTTACACTACTTTATTTTAAAGGTTTTGTTTTGTTTTAAATTACAAAAGTAAAACAAACATGCTGAAAAACAGCATAAACATACACAGTGCATAGGCCGGGCTCAGTGGCTCATGCCTGTAATCTCAGCACTTTGGGAGGCCAAGGCAGGTGGATCATGAGGTCAGGAATTCAAGACCAACCTGGCCAAGATGGTCAAACCCTGTCTCTACCAAAAATACAAAAATTAGCCAGACATGGTGGCAGGCACCTGTAATCCCAGGTACTTGGGAGGCTGAGACAGGAGAATTGCTTGAACCCAGGGGGCGGAGGTTGCAGTGAGCCAAGATCGTGCCACTGCACTGCACTCCAGCCTGGGTGACAGAGTGATACTCCATCTCAGAAACAAAACGAAACAAACAAACAAAAACATATACAGTGCATAAAGAAAAAGGCAGAAGTCCTTCTCCAGGTGGCCTCCCTGCCCAAGTCTGCTCCTCAAGGTGGGCCCTGCAGCTGCTGGAATCTCCTGTGCTGGGGAGCCCTCCATGCTGCCTCCCTCCAGGCCTTTAATCCAGTCTTGAGGTGCCTGAATCTCTGTTTTTTACACCTGCACACCCTCTAGTGGGGGTGCTTTGCAAACTCAATGTGAGGACAAGAAGACGGAGTGGCAGGTGGCAGGTGTGGCCTAAGGCACCCTCCCATCAGGCTCCCCCGCCCTTGGAAATTAGGATCTTCAATTTTGGTCCTGACCAATTCCCACTAAAACTTGGCTACTAGTTTGGTTTTCCAATCCCAGGGCCAAAAGGAAACTGGGAGCAATGCTACCTACTAGCAAAAGAAAAAAGATCAAATTTGTTAGAACAGTGACCCTAACTAGTCAAAGGCAGTGCTTTCACCTAGAGGTAATAATAATAACCATTTCTGGGAGCCCTTACTGAAGGCCAGGCTTTGCTTTAAGAATGAGGACTGCTAATATTTCTCTTTTCTAGATGAGGACGCTGGTGCTCAGGGAGGTTCACTGCAGGAGGCAGGAAAGTGCAGTGGTGAGGAGATCAGGCTCTGTGGTTTGACCACCTGGTCAGCTATCCTGGTTCTGCTGCTTATTAGCTGTGTGACCTCAGGCTTACATCATGGAGTCTCCCATGACTTGGTTTCCCCTCTAGTAAAACAGGGATGATGACAGTGTCTCCCTCCAAGGGTGGTGGTGATTAAATGAGTTAGTATGTGGCTGGGCATTGTGGCTCATGCCTCTAATTGCAGCACTTTGGGAGGCTGCAGGAGGAGGATCACTTGAGCCAGGAGTTTCCGGTTACAGTGAGCTATGATCACACCACTGTGCTCCAGCTTGGATGACAGAGTGAGACGTTGTCTCAAAAAAAAAAAAAAAAAAAAAAAAAGTATGTGTAGTCCTGGCACAGAGAAGATGCTCAATAAATATGAGAACTGGGATTAAATAGTGGGCCTAAATCTCAGCTAGTGGCTGATGGAGGAGGCATCTGAACCCGGGTGTGATATGGTTGAGGGTCAAAGGCTTACCTGCTATGTAGTGCTGTCTCCCTAGAGCCCACCAGCTCAACTCCTCAACTCCTGTCCCACCTTCAAGGACTAGATCCTCGGGAGTCCCAGCTCTCACTGATGTGAGGATGACACGGGTCTCCTCGGAAGAACCAATGATTCCTGGTGAGTCTTGGGAGGCAGAGAAGATTATTGGACATTTGGCAGAAGAGGGTCAGCCCTGGGCCTTTCTCCTCAGAGGAAAACCTGTAAGTCCCCTGCCCTGATCAGTGCTTGGCAGGGAGGATGGGGTATTCCCTATCTCTCTAGGGATATCCTAAACTCAAGTACCCTCATTATGATACATGATCTGATGGAAGCGCAGGGTAAGTGTGGCTGCCTCCTAAGGGTGGAAATAGCAGTGAGGGAGGCTGTCAAACATGATTTGCTGGAGTGGTGATGTCCAACCTGAGTCTTCAAGGACGGGGGGAAGTTATGAAGGGAGGGGAAGGACATTCTGGGTAGAGGGCACAATTTGAGCAGAGAGGCTAGACATGGCATCTGAGAAGGATCAAGTCTGAAGAAAGAAGAAGCAAAAGATGAGGCGGGCAACAGTGGTCAGAATTTGGAAATCTTTGTGTAATCTGCTGAAGTGCTTGGACTCTTTTTGATTGAAAATAGGGAGCCAATGAAGAGTTATAGAGGAAGTAACAATGGTAAAGTTTTGTCAGGTGTACGTAGGATTGTAGGATTATTGTATGGTTATCCCATTTTACAATCCTATGTAGGATTGTAGGATTATTGTATAATCATATATTATTATACATTATATATATAATCATACAATAACCCTATGTAGGGTTGTAGAATTATTGTATGATTAAGTGAGATGATACATATAAAGTTCTTAGAATGGCACCTAAAAAATGCTCAGTAAGGCCGGGCGCGGAGGCTCACCCCTGTAATCCCAGCTCTTTGGGAGGCCGAGGCGGGTGGATCACGAGGTCAGGAGATCGAGACCATCCTGGCTAATGCGGTGAAATCCTGTCTCTACTAAAAATACAAAAAATTAGCCGGGCGAGGTGGCAGGCGCCTGTAGTCCCAGCTGCTCTGGAGGCTGAGGCAGGAGAATGGTGTGAACCCGGGAGGTGGAGCTTGTAGTGAGCTGAGATCGCGCCACTGCACTCCAGCCTGGGTGACAGAGCGAGACTCCGTCTCAACAACAGCAACAACAAAATATGCTCAGTAAATGTTAATGATGTTGATGCTGATGACTGTAATGTCCTATTAGGAAGAGAAATCACAAAGTTAGAGGCCACCAAGGCAGTCCATACAGTAAGTAAGGCGTGGCCAGGTGAACAGAGGCCAAGACCAGCCTTACATAGAAGTCCAGGACTTGTCTGCCTGCTGGAGTAAAACCCAAGCTTCTTGGTCTGGCTCAGAAGCACTAGGTGACCTGGCCCCTTCTCATACATTAAGCTCCAGCCACATTATTTTCTTTCTGGTTTTCAAACATGTCCAAACTGGTCCTGTGCCCTTACTGTTCCCTCTGTCTAGACTGCCCGTCCCTCACATTTTTGAATGGCTGCCACTTACTTGTCACAAAGTTCTTGGTTCAAATGTTACTTCCTCTAAGAGACCTTCTTGAGCCCTAGAACATCAGCCTTCTCGCCAGATGAAATGATCTTACTTATTTTCATGTTTAGTGTCTGTTGCTTCCTATCCCCTAGAGCATGTAAACTCCATAAGGGTATGAATTATATCTTTCTTGTTCACTGCTGTATCCCTAGGTCCTTGAACACCATCCAGAACATAGATACCCTCCATAAATGTTTATCAGGAAAAAATAAAGGATCTGAAATGATGTCCATTAGAGAGTCATTCCTTTCAAGCTATTCCTGGGAGAGGTAGCTGATCAAGTTGTGATCAGCTAGTAATACAGCTGAGTGGATTCAGTGAAATGATGATTTTGTGTAGGTAGAATCTGGGAACTAAAGAGAAGGGACATCACAAAACAAAGTAAGTTCCAATGACCCAGGGTAATTTCCATGGCAGGGCTGGTCAGGGAGCTGCTATAGGACTTAGGGTGTAGACAGGTGACAGAAGGGTAGGGGTGGAGATGAGGTAGAAAGAGGCTGGGTCTCAGAAGCATGGTCCATCAGAGGGGGACTGGAGGGCCACTGGCTCAGGTCTTACATTCCATCAAGATCTTTAAATTTAGGCTGGGAGTAGTGGCTTACACCTATAATTCTAGCACTTTGGGTGGCTGAAACTGGAGGATCAATTGAGGCCAGGAGTTCGAGGTTACAGTGAGCTGTGATAGCACCACTGCACTCCAGCCTGAGTGACATGAGACGTTGTCTCTAAATAAAATAAAATAAAAATCAATTTTAAAAAGTAAAGATTACGAATCTTAGTCTTTTAACATTAGTATTTTGATATTATCTGCAAAAGAGGTTACAAATAGTCACAGACACACCAATAGGCTTGAAAAAAATGCTCATTCATATAACTGTAATTACAAAATGCAAGTATCAAGACTATTCCAGAACTCGTCTTTTTTTTCTTTGAGATGGAGTCTCGCTCTGTCACCCAGGCTGGAGTGCAGTGGCATGATCTTGGCTCACTGCAACCTCCGCCTCCCCGGTTCAAGCGATTCTCCTGCCTCAGCCTCCGAAGTAGCTGGGACTACAGGTGTCCACGACCACGCCCAGCAAATTTTTGTGTTTTTAGTAGAGTTGGGGTTGCACCATGTTGGCAGGCTGGTCTTGAACTCCTGACCTCAAGTGATCCACTCGCCTTGGCCTCGCAAAGTGCTAGGATTACAGGCGTGAACCACCGCCCTCGGCCCAGAACTCATCTTTCAAGACCTGCCTGCAGCATCGGACACAGTTGTTTTCCTCCTCCTGGCCACCCTCTCTTCGAGCTTCCAGGACACTATACTCTCCTGATTGTACTTCCTTGCTGGCTACTCCAAGTCTCCTCTAGCGGTCCTTGCTCATCTCATCATTCACCCCAGATTGTCCATTGCCAGAAGGCAGCAGAGTGAGCCCCGGTGCCTCACCTGAGGTTCCTCTGCAGGAACACCCTCCCTCGAGGCTGGCTTCCTCACTTCCTAATAGTCCTTGCCTGAATGTCACTTTCTCAGAGAGGTCTCTTTCCTACCACCCTACTTAACATTGCATTCCCTCCAACCCTCTCTCCCCTTTTCCTTCCCTGAATTTCCTCTCTGGTACTCACTACCAAATTACATGCATTTCTTGTTTAGTGTTTATCTCCCCTGACTAGTATGTCAGTTCCAGGAAAGCGGAGGTTTGTCTTTTCTTTGCTATTTATTACCTAGAACAGTGTTTGACACACAATAGGACCTCAAGGAAATTTTGTTGGTCACTTTTCAATTTTGCAGGTTTGCACTTCAAAATATATAGGGAGCCTTACCAGGAGCCCTAAACCGAACGTGAGTCTAAGGATTGGTATGGTTTTCCTCCACACAACGGCTAAAGCAAGGGACAGAGCCGACACTCAAGAAATAAATCTTGAATTAATGACTCTCTGGAGTTGCGTAGCATTGTGTGAAGTTTGCAGGGTGCAGTTTGGTTGTGGTGCTAGAAGGGGAAGCCTCGGGGCTGAACCTGTAGGCTCATCAGTGGAGTTCAACTCACAGAGGTAAATCACCGCAGTGGGAATCAACGGCAGCCGCAGCCCAGCAGGGGTTCCACCACACAGCCGCACAAGGCGCCGCGGCTCTACCGCGCAGCCGCAGAAGGAGCGGACGGGTCTGCGCAGCCGCAGGAGCAGCAGGCGGTACGTGGACGGATTCGTCCGGCGCTGTCTCGCGTCAGGCGTGAGGCGGCTGGGGCCCGGCAGGTAGTGTCTCTGCACTCCTCACCTGGCCGCGTGAAGCCGGCTGCGCTGCGCTGGCCTTGAGCCTCCAGCCCTCCTCCCCTAAGCCGCCGCCATCATGCTGCTGCCTGTGTTCACCCTGAAACTGCGCCACAAAATCAGCCCCCGCATGGTGGCCATAGGGCGCTACGACGGGACTCACCCGTGCCTCGCGGCCGCCACCCAAGCGGGCAAGGTAACCGCTCCCACCCGCAGGGAGCCCGGGCCCCGGTGAACCCCGGAACCTCCGCCGGCCGCGCCCCGGGACTCCGCCCCCCTCCGACCCCGCCCCCAGCCCGTGTTGCCCGGCAACCGGTCGGCTAGCGCCTTGTAGCTCCATCCTACAGAGGACAGTGGGGTCTTAGAGGAAGAACTTTTCTGAGA